CTTGATATGATATGGAGGATCTCTTGCCGAAGTAGCCTCTAAGTAGCCCTCAGACCCCCACACATATCAATACCTGCTGTGGCCCAGTGTGATCCCAGGTAATCCAGAGCCTCTCAGGAAGGAAGAAAAGGGGGGAACTGAACAAGATAGGACACCCACACACTGTGCTGGGATCTCCATCTACCCATTTCACAGATGAGAAGACTGAAGCTCAGGAAATCCCTCACTGTGTCAAGAGCCACATTAATGCCCTGGGCTGGAGTCACCAGAGCATGTGGCTGGGTGCCCAAGAGAAATGAGGAAGCAATAGAGCCCCTCAGTTCTAATACCCTGGAGGTCCACAGAGGGGACACCCCAGCCACCCAGCCTCAGCTCAATACACTGGGAGAGGGGAAAGTGCAGAAAGAGGTGATGACTCAGATAACCTTTGAGACCACAAGACAGAGGAAGTGGGTGGCATTTCTGGGGGGTGTGCCTCATTTCCTAGAAGGATGTGTCACTAGCTTTTGTTTCATCAGCAATTACCCTGACTGTCCTTGGCCGCCTGAATTTGGGACAGCACCACCTGGCTGGCCTGTTGCTACAGTGCTCACAGGCAAGCAGGCCAGCAAACAGACTGGGGTTGTGGGTGGGGGGTAGGTGGGAGGAGACCGTTTCAGGGGACACACAGCAGGGATTTAAGTTCAAACACCTGGGCCAAGAGGTTAATTTTTCTATTTGCAGGGACAGGAGGGAAAGACCTTCTAGAATTTGACAAGAAAGAAGGAGGGACAAAGAAACAGCAGCTGACTAGCAGGCAGCAAGGCCCCAGCCAACCTGAGGAGAGTCCAGACATTATATGCTGCTGGAATTCCTGTGGCTGAGGGTCACGCGACTTCCTCTACACATGATACTTGAGAAAGTCTGACAGAGTGTGGAGGAGAGGGAAGAGTTCACGAGACGAGATCATGTGCTGCACCCTTGACTGCCCCACAGGCTAGCAGTGTAACCACAGATAGTCTCTGGCCCTCTTGGAGCCTCAGTTTACCCTCCTTTATTGACTCTGCACCAAGTACTGTTCTGTGCACTGGAGTGATACAAACTTACTTAATCCCTCCATAGCCTGGTGAGACAGACATGCAGTTATCTCTGTTTTGCAAAAGGAGAAAACTGAGGCACAAAGGCAGCTACTGATGTAGGTGGAAGGACTGGGCTTTGAAGCCAGATAGCACCCACTGCTTAGAATGTGTGCTGAGCATGGGCAGCTACTCCAATCTGCTGCCTTTTTGGTGAAGTTTGATTTCTTCAGTACACTCAACAGCCTTTATAGACCATGGAGCCCCTCAGGAGGCCCAGAGTCACAGCAGCTATCGACCTGTCTCTTTGAGCCTTGCTGAGAGCCATCCCTGCAAACAGGAACGGACGACCCCACTGTGATGTCCGTTTTGGAGTTTTACACTCAGGTCGGCTTCAGGGACCACAGGAGGGAGACTGCTATTCAGGTATCCAAGAAAGGGAAGAAAAAATATCCATTCATAGTCAGACAGCTGCTCTGTGGAAGTGACACTCCAGATGCGACAAGCAACCCCGCTGTGTGATGGATTCCGTAAGAGTGTGACCTCGGAGCATCCACGTGGAAGGCTCAAAAACTTGGGTGGTCACTAAGCTTTTCAAATATGCCCAGATGGTCAACTATGCAATTCCAGAGACAGCATGGTTCTGACCTAAAACCTAAGCTTGTCTTCCCAAACAAAATTCTTCCAACATTTTTTAGCTTAAACAAACAGCCAGTCAATCTGGTTTCTCTTGACTCTCTAGAGTAAGGCAAACCCATGCTAAGAAAAAACAGCCACAAAATCATGTCTCTGCCCCTACTCCATGCCATGGGGTGTGTGGATGGACCAACCTGCCCCATGAGAAGGGAATCACTATCTTTACAGGGAAGGAAACTGAGACTCAGAAAGGTGCAAACTCACCCAACTGGGAGACAGCAAAGAAAGGTTTAAAACCCAGGGTGAGGGGTTGTGGAGATGGCTCAGTGGGTAAGAATGCTTGCTGTGCAAGCATGAGAACATGAGTTCAAATCCCTAGCACTCACTCATGTACAAAGCTAGGCATGGGGCTGGAGAGTTGGCTCAGCAGTTAAGAGCACTGGCTGCACTTACAGAGGACCTGGGTTTGGTTCTTAGCACCCATATGGCGGCTAATAACCATCCAAAATTCCAGTTTCAGTGGCTCTGACACCCACTTCTGGCCTCCACAGGCACTTCATGACATAAGTGCACTTACATACATGCAGGCAAAGTACTCATACACATAAAATAAAATTTGAAAAATAAAAACTGGGCATGGCTACACATGCCTGTAACCATAGAGCTATGGGGACCAGAGAGAGGAGGATCATTCAGACTTCCTGGCTGTCAGCCTAGTTCCAGGTTCAAAGAGAGATGCTATCTCAAAGGAATATGGTAAAAAGTGATAGAGCAGGACACGTAACATCCTCCTTTGACTTCCACATACATAGTGGGGGGTGGGGGCAGTGGGGTGGCGTGGGATCCAGACAGCTACCAAAGCAGGTCCTGGGGCATCTGGGGGTCACTTGGGTCCTGCTTCCGTAAGACACTGGAACCCACCAAAAGGGAATTCTGTGCTGTGCACTCAGGAAACTTCCCTGGCTTCATTCATAGTTTCATCAACATGGGATAATCATTAAGAAAGCCCACCTGCAGGCACCATCACCATCCCATTCCTCCTGGGAACAGGGATGGCCTTCCATCCACTCACATCAGGTCTCATGTCTCATCAGATACCTCAGAATAGGAAGTGCCTGTGAGTGGAGGACAGGGTGGATACTCACAGCACAGTATGTGCAAAGGCCTGGAGGCTAGGAATACCTGGCTATGTGTTGCAGGACCAAGGCCCCAGTGATAGCAGTGGCATCAAGTCTGCAAACCAGAGGGAGTCTCAGTGAATTGGATCCACAGGGCCCTGTGACTACCTGCACACAGATGTGCAGTATGCACAGCCGGGGCCAGGACTTGGCTCCCTAGACTCTCTTTCCAGTGCTGTTCTACATACCACCCTGCCTTCCACAACAGCAGGGAATTAGAAACCACCTATAGAATGGGGGGTGGGAGGACCTGCCAGTAGGCAGGACCTCAGGAGCTACAGTGTGAAAACATTGTCAGTGCCAACATTTTCTTATTCAGCAAGACTTTATTAAGTACCTATTGTGTGTCAGGTCCCTTGCTGGGCCTAGGCAGGATTCACAAAAGGTTACCACAGCCTCAGATACACCTTATTCACAGTCCTGATTTGGGCAGGACAAGAATGGTACCTCCTGTATCACAGGAGGCTCAGAGAGGCTGGGGGTGGGATGTGCGTGCTTGCTCAAGATTTCTCTGCTGGGAGGTGCCACCACTGGGACACTCACCCAGAAATGTCTGACCAAAGAGCCTCTGCCAAAAGAGATGAGGGTCCTTGGGGGAACAAAAGGGCCCAGATTCCCTTCTTTCCTTTATCCACAAGTAGGGGAGGCCTCGTTGGCCACCAGTGCCAGAAACTGAACCACCGTCTATCACTCTCAGAAGAGGCACTCTCCCATCTGAGCAGCCAACAGGGCTGGTGTTTGTGCTAAGTTTTAAAAAGCTCTTGGTCCTCAACTGCCCCAACTGATGCCACCAAAGGACTAAAATGGTGGTCTGTGCTTACAACAAACCATGCTAAAGACCATTCTCTTGATGGACTCATCCGGGCACCTGTCCAGACACATATGATCTAGTCAGGATGGACAGGCTCTGGAGTTGGAACCTTGCTCTCTCCTGTGCCTCCAGACCCATTCAATAGGCAGGGGTGTGGTGTAGGGGGAAGTGACCTTCCCTGCAGCCCCAGGCTGGCCCACCCTCCCTCCATCCTTGGGTTTTTGTATGCCTTCCACAGGAGTACAGCAGGCTCTGGGGACTCCTCTTGTCCCTATATGTCCCCTGTACTGGTAGAATGGTGTCCCCTCAAAGTTCATGTCTAGGCCAGGCATGGTGGTGCATGCCTTTAATCCCAGCACTTGGAAGGCAGAGACAGCAGATCTCTGTGAGTGCAAGGCCAGCCTGGTCTACACAGTGAGCAGCCAACAGGGCTGGTGCTTGTGCAGGCCAGCTGGAGCTACTGGGAGATCCTGTCTCAAAAAGACATCAAAAAAAAAAGTTCATCTACCTGGAACCTGGGAATGTGAACTTGAAAGTACAGGCAGTCTTTAGTTCAAATTTACAACTTTTTTTCATATTTTATTATTTTTATTTTATGTGTGTGTATTGCCTGCATGTGGGTAAATGCACCCGTGTCTTGCAATGCCCGTGGAAGACAGAAGAGGCTGTCAGATTCCCTGGAACTGGAGTTATGGATAGTTGTTAGCTGCTGGAATTCGAACCCGGGTCTCCTGCAAGAACAACCGGTGTTCTTAACTGCTGCGCCATCTCTCCAGCCCTCAAATTTACAACTTTTTTACTTTGGAATGGTACAAAATGGAGAGCATTCTGCAGAAATATGACTTTTAATTTCCAATTTTGATCTATTCCCAGGCTAGCCATACATGGTCTAAGGTCATCAGGTGGCTGGGCAGAGATAGTAAACCATAGCTCCATCAGCCCCACAATCATGGAAACCCCATCCATCCACAGTGTGCTGTGTATACAAGCAAGGACCACTACTAGGTTGGGTCAGTTTTGTATTAAGATGTTTTCAATTTACGGTGGGCTTATCTAGATTGTAGGTTGAAGCATATTCATGGGGCTTTTGCAAGTATAATTGTGTTAAATTGAGATGATGTAGGATTAGCATGAGCCAAAAATCCAATGAGTAAGGTCTTCATAGGAGGGAAATGTGGAGAGGGAGATAGGGAGAGAGAGAGGAGGGGAGAAAGAGAGAGAGAGAAAAGACCACTTGAGGAGAAGCAGACCCTGCCATGATGATCTATGGCTCAAGGAACACCAAAATTGTTGGTGCTCACCGTAAGTGAAGAAACCAACCTGCCATTTTGCTTCCAGACACCAGGCCTCTGCAACAGTGACACGAGTCCACAGTCCTATACTGCTCAGTTCATGGATATCTGTTAAGGCAACCATAAGAAACCCAGGGCAGAGCTGTGGTCACGAGTGACGTGACTTGCCCCACTCCCTCAGGCCCCACCCTGACCCCCCGATAGAGAAGAAGGGCATCAGTGGCTCCCAGGTCACTGGATTTTACAGGCCTGTAATGCTTCCCCCAAAATTTGAAGACAGACAGAAAGGCTGCCAACATTTTTCAGCATCTAAAATAAAATTTCCATCCATTATCACCATTTCTTCAGGAGAAAGGACGCTTGACATCAGAAAGTAGATAATGCCAGGCTCGTCCTTCTGTTCTCTCATTTCACTGGGGTTGGGTGTGGATGTCACATAGCCCCGGGCTGGCCTGGCTCTGGATTCAACCAAAGAACTAAGCGGCTGTACTTGTGATTCCCTTCGACCCTGGCTGAGGAGAGTTGAGGTCAATCTCTTCCACCTTCCCAGGAGCATAACAAAGATGTACTCCTGTGGGGCTGGAGAGATGGCTCAGCAGTTAAGAGCACTGGCTGCTCTTGCAGATGACTTGGGTTCAGTTCCCAGCACCCACATGGCAGCTAACTACAGTTCCAGGGGATCCGAAACCCTCTTCTGGCCTCTGTAGGTACTGCATGATACGGGTGCACTTATCCATATGCAGGCAAAACACTCATACACATAAAATAAGAAATAAAAATTTTTTAAAGAAGTGTACTCCCAAAGGCCCTGTTCCAGTGCAGTCCTCAGCCCAAGGGAGGAGGAGGAGGAGGAGGAGAAGGAGGCAGCCTCCAGGTCATGAGGAAAAAATATATATAAAGGAAAAATCCAAGAGGGAAGAAGAACTGGCCCTTCTGGTGAAGAGAAGCAAATTGTGAAATTATGCAATGTGCAGACGTGACGGACCAGTGTCTCCGGCTCTCTTCAAACACACCTCATAAACCCGCGCCTGGCTGCTGCAGAGCATGGGGACAGATGCCTTGTACTCTGGGAGGAGCTTTCAAGGCATGTGGCCCTAGTGGCCTGATGACCCAATGGACAAAGGTCACCCTGTGCTTTGAGAACATCGCACCCACGTCTGCCCTGCAGTAACCAGGGAGGAGTGCTGGAGCAAGGAGACGTGTTCCTTCCCAGGGACTCTCCCACATGGGGACACACTCCCCAGTTGGGGCCACTGGGCACAGGGTAGCAAGTAGCCTCAGACGATGCAAGTTCATCTGCCTTCCCTCCATTCCATGTCCTCTGACTGGGGCAGGGTGGGCCCCCTTCTCAGGAAGCCAGGAAACACACTCTTTTCTGGGCTAAATGCCCAGATTCCTGGAGCAGTCACAGGACACACTTCTTGTGAGCCGAACCAAAGCCACAAGTGTGGACTGGAAGCTTCTCTGGGCAGTATAAAACTGCAGAGCACACACAGGCACACCCGGAATTCCAGGCTCAAAGCTGGTCAGGAAGAGAGACCTAGCTGACCCTGGACAGGCAAAGTCTCCCATCATGCCCTTGAGGTATGGCTGAGGCTCACTCGGTGTTCTTTTTGAGACTAAGAAGTTTAACTCATTCTGTCATTTATCAAGCATTTCTTGAAAGGCTCCAAAGGGCTAGGGACAGATTGGATGAGATGGACAGGGCCCTACCTTCCTGGGGTGAGACAGACATGGATGCCAATAGACATTACATTCAGACAGCATAAAATGCTATAAGGGAGATGAAGCCGACGACTGTGTCAGGTCATACAAATAAGAGGACCTGACCAGCTCACAGGGTCACTGGGGCAGTTTAGCAAGATCATGTAGCAAACTGCTTAGGACATAATCAAACTCAACAAAGAAACAGGTTATCCCAATACTCCACAGAATAGTGAGTCCATCAAAGTCAGGAATGGGAAAGATAGGGTAGGCTAGTTTGGGTTGTGACTAAGTCCCACGTATCCCTGGAGTCCAGGGCAGAGTCCCTAGTCCTATCTGATCTCAGGAGACTCTACTCTTCCTTGGTGGGACAGCAGTTCTTTTGACTTCTTGCCCTAGGATAGCCCACCAAAAGGATCTAGCCCCTCTTAATGTCATGCCCCTGGCAAGCCCACAGAAAAGAGTATGTTGATCCCCTCACCCTCATTCAGTTGCCCTTTCTCCCACTAGCATGACTGTTCCAACAAGCCATTGCCCATATTGCCACACTGCCACATTCCCCAAGTGACCCCATCAGTCTCTGGCATTATTTGCGACAGTTCAGGTCAGCGGGGGAAACCTATGACTCCAGCCTACCTCCATCACACATACAGAGCACAGGTGGGTATTAAACCCCAGAACAGCTGCTCTCAGAGAATAACTTCAGGTTCTTCTAGAACAAAACAGTAGACAAATGTGAGTGGCTGGGACTCAGTCACCACGACAACAGGGTGCGCTCCCCAGGAAGCACGGTAAACTTGGGGCACTTGCAGACTGGTGAGATAGCCTGGAAACGAGGGAAATTAAATGCATCACTGGCAGGCGGCTTGAACAGCCGAGCCTTGGCTGACACGCTCCCATTAGCTTTGGCTTCTCTCATCCCTGGGAATCAAAACAGCTTCTCTGATGGGGGGAAAAAAATGACACACAGAAATCCGGATTTAGGGAAAATAACACATCCATGGCACTTTTTTTTCCCTCCGCTGCAAGCTTTACATATTTTATCAGTTATTCTCACATTGTCCCCAGCAAGTTGGTAGGCGTCGGCCTTGTTTTTCACAGGAAAGCTGTGAGTGAGGCTGAGGGTGCTGAGGTGAGGGGCCTCCCACCCAACACCCAGAGGAGGGGCCGCAGCTCCTGGAGGGTGGGTGCAGCCTCAGGCATGGGGAGGCTCTGGGGTGGTTGCTGCTTTCACATCAGGGGCTCCCCTCCAGTCTCCAGCCTTTTGGGCCTCAGTACCACCCTGGCCAGCCCATGACCAATGCCAGCTCCTTTCTGGCCACATGCGCCTACCTCAGCGACCATTAAGGCTCCCAGGTAAATCAGTCATTCTTGGGCTCAAAACCTCACGCCTTCTTCCCTATCTGGCCCCAATCCCAAGTGACCCCTGCTGTTTGACATGTCCTTCCACAAAGCCTCTCACAGGTTCCTGTAGCCGCTGATAATGGCTACTGATCCTAGCACACTGGGGCTTCTAGAGGAGATAGCTGTGGACTCAAATCCTTGCTGTATTGTCTTGGGTAAGTTACTTTGCCTCCCACAGGTATGGGTTCATTTAAAAAACTGAGCATCAGGGAGCTAGAGTGATGGCTTAGCAGTTAAGAGTACTTGCTGCTCTTGTAGAGGACCCCGGCTTGGTTCCCAGCACCCATATGGCTCACAACTGTCCATAACTCCAGTTCCAGGGATTTCAACACCTTCTTCTGGCCTCTTTGGGCATTGCACACATGCAGGAAACTCATACACATAAAATAAAATTAGTAAATTAAAAATAAATAAATAAAATGAGTAAATCAAAAAATGTTTTAAATAAATAAAAAAAATTTTTAATTGAGCATCAGGCTAGGCCAGTGGGATGGTTCAGTAGGTAAAGGCACTTGCTGCTAAGCTTGACAACCCAAGTCTGATCCCTACAGTAGAAGGAGAGATGTGTCCCCCAAAGCTGTCCTCTGACCTACACACATGTGCTGTGGCATGCTTTCTCCCTACACTCACAAAATAAATAAATGTAATAAAAAAAAATTTTTTTGTCTTTTTTGAGACAGGGTCTCCTTGTAGTCCCAACTGTCCTGGAACTCACTATGCAGACCAGGCTGGCCTTGAACTCACAAAGATCCACCTGCCTCTGCCTCCCAAGTGCTGGGATTAAAGGCCCACCACACCCGGCTATAAAATTTTTTTTTAATGCAGCAAAACTGGATACAGTGGTTCATGCCCATAATCCCAGCGCTTGGAAGGCTGAGGCAGGAGGAATACTGTGAGTTCAAGGTCAGCCTGGAGTACACAGTGAGTACCAGACCAGCCTAAACCACATATCAAGACCCTATCTCAAAAAACAACACAGCTGGGCACAGTGGCACATGCCTTTAGTCCCAGAGCTTGGGAGGCAAAGGCAGGTGGATATCTGTGAGATCAAGGCTAGCCTGGTTTTCATAGAGTTCCAGGTCAGCTGGGGCTACAGGGAAACCCTGTCTCAAAAAGACCAAAAACCGAAACACATAAGCCAGGTGTGGTGGCACATGCCTTTATTCCTAGCACTCAGGAGACAGAAATAGGCAGATTTCTGTGAGTTCAAGGCCAGCCAGGACTGCATAACAAAACTCTGTCAAAGAAAAAAAAAAAAAAAAGACTTAAATAATTAGCCATTTAGAGACGAGAACTGATAGCATAAGCAAATCCCAGGTCAGTGTGCTGATGAAAAGGTAATATAACAACAAGAAGAGCTGTTGTTATTAAATATGGCTAATATTTAGGTAGTTGCATACTATTAAGAGAATTGGCATTTGTGTTGCAGGTACCAGGTGGAGGCTCCCTCTAGACACCCTCCAGAGACACTCTACTGTATACACTGTTGCTAGGGATTCATGGCCCCTTCAACTTGCCATAGAATTTGTCATCACTCTGTGATTTTCACTTTCCCTCTTCCTGTGGCTCTGTGAGTACCAGGCTCACCCAAATTCAGGGACCAAGGTGAGTGATGAGGTCAAAGTACACTGTCCCTTCTTCACTGACAGGACACTGGGCCTGGGGCCTCGTGCTGTCTGGCAGGAAACTGGGCTCTTCTGAAGACCCTGAGGCAGGTCAAGTCACAGGGAAGCATGGTTTTTAACCTGCAGCCCAACTTGGGTCTCACAGACTGCACAGTTCTCCCTTTACCCCAGGCCAGTCCTGTCCTCCCCACCCATGCCCTCCATCCTGACATGTGAAGTGCTCTGCCCTCAGCAGCCATGGGCCCAGTTCCTGCTCCAAACCCTTCCAATGACCCATCAACATAGATGGAGTCCAACTCCATCCTCTAAAGAGTCTT